TTGATTCGGGGTGAAAGTGGTGAACCCATGTCTCATATTGGGTGACAAATCGTTTGAATAAGTTGCCTTGATGGACTGAATTCGTTCCTTGAAATGCCCAGCTTGTTTAACGTGTGATGTTCAGACAACATTCTAGGCACCCATCATGCAGACAGCTTGCTCATCCCCAGGATTTCTGACAAAACATTATGAACTGTACCACAAGTCAGGCCAAAGAACCTGCTACATGTTGGACAGTCTCACATCTGTCATTTACTATCATGTGATGGATGGCCTCAACTGGATTGCCCATGGTGCTGATTTGTGGCATCCTGACATATGTTCATCTTTTGTGCTCTCCTTGACGCGCTTAGAGCTAGCAACCCAGTTCTTTGTGGTTAAATAAGAAGGTGAGTCATCACCAAGTGACTTGATCATGTCTTTATGGATTTCCCTAGGAGACATAGCTTTTTATCGATACACTTGTTCACAGCACACGCTTCTGGTGCGGCCATTTTGTAATTTTGCCCTCACCCGCCCCATTTTCATGGGGCGTCACGTGCTAATTAATGAATGTATAAATTTGCATTTTTGTGGGCAGTGATGTAAGACGTCATAGCATACAGTTATACCAAAGAATACGCGTTTGACCTCTATTTTCTAGGTGAGGCCGAGAACTTTTGGATCACCCCTCGTATGTTAGTTGCTGGGGAGATGTGCAAAGCATGTCATTGTTTTCACAAGTTAACCATTTCAGTATTTCGTTTTAATATATTTTCTTCTTCCTCTCATGTTGAACAACAGACAGAGTCGAGGACGCGCCATGACAGCTGTATCAAACCCCATCGTTGCTCCTCTGACGGGCATAGACTTCCTCGCCGCCTCTCACTTCAAGATCGCTCAGGAACCGTCCGCCACCCCTGATGCCCTTCACAGCGTCTTCAAGCACGACTACAAGGCTCCGTACCAATGGCGGAGACAGAGCGCCTCCGAGCCGCCCAGACCCGCCCAGTTCATGCACGCGGACACCGGCAAGATCGGGGTGAAAATCTCCGAGACTCGCCAGGCCTTTCCGGAAAAGAGGTCGGAGAAGATGGAACTCAAGGACAAGTACACTTCCCTACAGGCCACCAACTTCAAGTCTGACGCCGACAAACGTATCGACAGTTTCCAGACCACCAACACCGCCTATTTCCCCGCCAAGCCGCTGTCTGTCACCAAGCCCTCCAAGGACCCACATGAGAGGATGACGAGTTACATTCCTCAGGGAGACAAGGAGAAGGCGCCCAACCCGGTGTCTGACTACAGGGATTCCTTCCAGGGACACGACACTGCCAATGTAGTCACCCAGAAGGCACCCAACATGCACACTTGTAAGTGGCCATCCAATGACATTTTACTGGATTTTGAAGTGATATCTGACTTGATTTTGTGGACAGAAATGAGAACAAATGCAACAAACTACCATCCCCTGTTATTGCCATCATTGAACAAGGACAAGGTCCAGCTTATAAAGTAGTAGTTCTAGTATACATGTGAGTTGACTTTGCATGAAACTTGTTTCCCTACAGCTGGTCCCCCCACCATTCTGGGTGATGATCGTACACACAGTTTTGCCACCACCAGTACCAGAGCATTCGATGGACAGTGGCTGCCACCTGTTGAACCAGTCCCCAAGGTAACAATACAGGGTATCATCACTACTGAGGAATTATAATAGTAAAAGCTAAGCAAACATTGGGAAAGCCCAACATCTATAACGTTTCTCTTTCACTAAATGCACAGTTTCTCATCAAACTTCTCTGCCTACTCTGCAGCAAACACGGTCGTCTGTGCCCATGGGTGACCCCTTCAAAGTGAAGCACGAGTTCACCACGAAGCAGGTGTCCTTCCAGGCCCACCCCAGCGCCCAGATGAAGGGGTACGACAGGAGCGGCACCATGGGAAAACTGCAGGTCACCAACTTCAAACTGGGGGACGGGAACGGGAGATACCTCAGTACAGCTGCTGAGTCCTACACACCCATGTGGGGAGGAGGTAAGTCATGTCTGTTTGCGTCTTTGCACATTCATTCTGGATACTGATGTTCCAAAATTATAGCCATTTATACAAATTTGTATTTCCTGGCTCTAAAACAGGCTTCTGTTCCTTGTGCAGAGAGATGCGACATTCCCAAGCACAAGAGGAACGACAGCAGTCTGCCACAGGGTGACCTTGACCCATACAGGTCACAGGAACGGACCAACACAACCACCAACAGGTGGTACCTTCAAAAGGTGAGAGGCCAGAATCAGACCATGGACTGTTCCATTTCAAAAGATCATGGCAGGGCAGCTGAGAAAATTTCTCAATGTGAATGGATGAAAAGTCAACTATCACATACATGACAAGATAACATAATTTTCTTCTTTCTCCTACATAGCATGATCTCAGTGGTCGTGCCAAGCCCATCAGCGGCGCCGCCTTGAGGACCAAAAGCACGGTGCAGCTGAACGAGCCACCTCTGGACGGCCGCTTCTACAGCACCACCAACGCCTCCACATTCACCCCCAAGTCTGTACCCTACGCCAGGGTGAGGGGAGGACAGCCGAGTGTCGTGCCCCTGGACTACTACGGTTAGCTTCAGTCTGTTATTGCTGAAAACATCAGTTTTACCAGTCAGATGATACCACGACTGGCCAGTTTGACACTACTGACAGTACTGAAAGAGAAACTTGTCATCATATTAAGTTACATGTATCTACAAGTTCAGTTTCTTTCTACACAACCAGTCAATTTCTTCACAGACACTGTGGCTGAGGTCTAACCCAACATGTCTATATTCCAGGGGATGCTAAGACTGACCCTACCTCCTGGAGTGATTTCCCCTCCCATGTGAGGGACAACAGAGTACCTGTGATGAGACCCAACCCTGAGGCACTGGACAATGTAAGGCTCAACAAACATGGCTTTCACACACTCACTATCCTGGTTTAGATTTGACATAAAGCATCAAAATAAAAGAGTTCATTTGTAGTACTGTTAGATTTGTATCTTTTTATTTGTAATGATATTCAATGTATTAATCTGTATTTCTCTTCTGGACTCCAGTTGCGGGACGCCCACTTCGGACCACCACTTGGCGGAGAACGCTACTTTGAAACGACACATCGCAAGTCCTACCCTGCTAAAACCATGGATAGAATCAATGTTATCCCTGGAACACTTCAGAAGAGTTCTGTCCCACTGGGGACTTTAGGGAAATACATTGCTGGTTACCATGTATAAAGATCACATGTATCACATTATACTACTAGTAATATGAACTGAAATATTCTGAAGATTTTTTGTGTATATTGGAACAATTTATGGATAAAGATCAAATCTAAAATTAGTCAGTCTTAACTGATGCTATATTCAGTTTGGATACAGTCAAAGGGTATATACAGTGTTTTGTATATATTACAGTCAAAGTTTAATGTAAATATGAAGTTTTTTTTCACTGATGCTATTTCATCAAGTCACTATTTGCAATCAAGGGAATCTAAAGCTGCTATGATATCAACTATTGTTATATGATATTGTGTACCTAGTGAAATTATGTTGCCAAAATTGAAATAAACAAGACCACAACAAAAACACTGGTGTCTGACCTTTTAATTTCTGTCAGTAATACTACAATTTGATGGTTACCTCCAGCTCCAACGAACACACACAGAACAGTTCTTTCCTCTTTAGTTTAAGACATGCTGTAAGGTAGCATTTTTGACTAGAGAATCTCAGATGGAGTGCAATTTTATGAAGCACATTAGAGAGTGCTAAAGAAACAGACAGGTTGTCTAAGAGTGATCAGATATTGTAGTTGTAGCCATACACTTTGCGAACCATATCTTCATGAGGTCGTAGGTTAAGGATTTCGACAGGTGGCGGGGTGTGCCACTTCTCATTCTGGTAGACACTCTCGCCGACGACCCATCCTTCCACCCCCTCCATGATCTTGGCCTCTTCCTCCAGGTTGGCTCGATACTGCCGCAAAATGCTGTGGGACAAAATAAGGATGCTGGTGGTTAGCCTATCGTACAAGTACAAAATGGTACACAGTCAATGCCGGTTAGGAGCTGTAGCCATGTCTAAGAACTCAACACATCTACCTATAAGAGTAGGACCGCCCATTTCAGTGTGGCTGGGATAAACCATACAGTTGTGTCTTGTACAGCTGGTATACTAGTAGTTCCTGTTCCAAACAAACTCATCAGTCCCTAAATAAGGTGGTTTAAATATTTTCCAAGATTGTTGTCTACTTACAGTCTGTCTTGTTCTGCCTTGTGAAGAGGTAGTAAGCTGACTTGGACTTCTATCTCCTCAGCCCAGTCTTCCCTGCAAATACATAACAAGAGCAATAGCTTCAAACAATGCTTGCATAAAGGTATAACATTTGATATTTATACAATATACATGTACGTGTGTTTCACTCAGTTCTTCAAGCACATGATAGACAGCAAATGAAACACATTGTCTGGTCTAAAAACTGTCTGACAAGAAGTTACATGATATCTGTGAGATGCTTAAGGTGTGACACTACCCCAGTCATGAACAGTTCCATCACAGAAACAGAAGATATCTACTGTGTTGTGTTACATGTACCTGACATGTTCAAGTTAGACTAGGTAACACCTTTGATCATCCTCTGTGTGGTACATAAGATGAGCCATACCTTCTCCTTCTATTCGTAGCGAAGAGTTTTGCATATCCATATATGGCCACTCCAATACCAAGGGCAAACAAGGCATAACCTAGAGAATAAAATACAAAAACATGTCAGTGACTAAATATTTTAGGCGGTTCAACAGGGAGCCAAGGTTGCTTAAACTGTGAAACTGTACTACCCAAGCTATGCTGACCACTGTCGAACTCTGGGCAACCTAGTAAACATAACATCCACGATGGAGTAATAACTTCTTCTTGCAAGGCTTGCTTCTTGCAACGGCATTATATTTGTATAAAGTTCTTGCTTCCTGCAAAAGAGGTTATATCTCCCCTATAGTATAAGTATAACCTCCTTATGACTTGTTATGGGGGAGGGGGCTGCTAGTTACCGCCATCTTTACTGTAGAGGTCACTCAAAACGACACCTCTGTATTAACGTTAAGAAGTTATACAAACGTAAAGCAGTTGGAATATAGATCTTGGGTATCTTAAGTACCTGATGGTCCTCTCCTTGGTAGTCTGCGAGCGTATTCAATCGGCCCATAACCACCTTTTGGTGGTAAGTCCTGTTTGTGCCCGGCTGCCCCGGTCGCCATGATGGGACCTACGACCTCGTTTTCAAACGTGCAGTAACATGCAATGCACCAGCGCCCTCTGGCGGTTTTGTCTGGACGTGGAGGTAAAAGAGTCTGGAATGCAGATCTTTAACTTTTAGAAAATGACGATTTACTTTATCGTGTTACTTTAACGTTAAATGTTAGCGCAACAACTGGCCAGGTTATACAGATATTGAGAAAAAAAATTTCTACAGAGCCACGTCAACCAGGGACTCTTCCCGCTGCCTTCTATAAGGATCTTATAACGCCTTCTTCATGAGGACATTCTACGAGACTCTTTTTGAATGTCTAGGAGACCAATTTACTGACCGTGACCTTTCACTGTTATATAACGATTCTCTGTGAGCATATCCTGCTAGGTTAACATATCTTTAGTCAGTCTGTTCTGCAAACTACTATTGGTTGTGTGGCCAACCGGCTTCATGACAGCCTCCTTGGCAGGCTCTACTGGTCAGGCCTTACTTTGCTCACGAACTGTACTGGAGGCCTCTGGAGAGGCTAGGTCACCAGACCTATCTACCCCTGCTCCGCTGGTGCTGGGTAATCTCTTGCAGCAGTAACATCACTGGAAGGCTGTCACCCAGAGGCTATGTTGGCAATTCATGTTATGCATGTATAAAGGTAGTATGGGCCAACAGGTTTTAAAGGCATTTATAACAAAATAAGTGAAATTGTAACTTACAATAGGTACAATATGTATGTTTGCTTTAGCCTCTACCAGGCTTGAGGAGGCGGCTGGAAAGAGTAGAAATTGGCCAAAATAGAGAGATAAGCATGCCAAGGGAGTTTGGCCGTTGAGAGAACAGTTGTGGGGCGGCGAACTGTTCTCTCAACGGCCAAACTCCCTTGGCATGCTTATCTCTCTATTTTGGCCGATTTCTACACTTTCCAGCCGCCTCCTCAAGCCTGGTAGAGGCTATGTTTGCTTGCAAATGTTGTCATTCTGGTTTTGTATCACTTCTGTAAATTTTGGGTTGGAAACAAAATGCACATGTGCCAAATAGGAAAGTCATACCAAACCCTCCACAACAGAGAAAAGATTAACACTATTTATCTTCACTCCACACATTCAACACAAACAGTGATTCCTACAAAACAAACTTTATTGACATCTTCGCCTTAATAGTACAAAGAAACAAACCTGGAAGTTAACGTAATCCTGGAGATATTAAGTGACAAGAAAAAAACTGGAACCAACGATACTGAGCTGCAAAAGGAGTCATACATCTGCTTGCAATAACATGCTGAACAAGGGAAAATTGCATTTTAGAAAATAGGGTTATTGCTATATGGTTATTGCACGTGGCAATGCTTTGCTTTTTCTCTGTACAAAAATCCCTGTACATTACAGCGAGAATCTAAGTAACACACATTTTCTTTGCAAAATTTGTACTTTTGTCCGTCTCTGCACTTATATGTACATCTGCTCTAAGCTGGCCCACTGCCACAATGTACAAGCATTACACACCTATCTTACACAACCCATCACGAGACATGGCAAATAGAGTTAGAAGTAACTGATAGAGCTGGCAGTTGTCTGTCAGCCTTCCAGATGGAAGGACAGTCATGGATAGTGTAGAACTACTATGTACTTCTATCCTCTTTGTTCCAATATTACAATCATTGTCATAGCATACAACTAGACCCTTGGCAAGGTATTTAAGAACACACTGTTGCTTTTCCTTTTCTAACAACAGTTTTCCATTTGTCATTTAAGTAAGTAATATGGCCTAAGGCAATGTCTTGGAGCACACAAAATGTAAGAGGAACCACATCAGCTGGGTACGTTTGACATCTACTTTTCTCCCTGAATACAAATTACAGAACGTTGTCTAAAGGCAACAGCTGCCCTGTCTAGAGGAGGAACTCTGAGGCTTGTCTAATCTTGTCCTGAATCTAAAACCACCTTAGGCAATCTACTTTTCTTCAACCCTAGTATGTGGCATATTACCAATATATCACAGCTCTCGGCCATTGCCACAAACATTGATACCAGTAGTTGCTGCATTAAAGTCTTTTTTTCTTATAAATGTCAAGGATTAGCAAAACATGAGGTTGCTTTACTGAACTGGAAATGTCAGAGTGTCTTCTGACAATGGGCCACCTCTAAAACGTACATTCACTGAATCCAACTCATCCCACAACATAGAATTTATAGTGCTTGTTCACAACTCTATTCCATGTGTTTGTCTTTGATTGTGAAACTGCATGTAACTCTTCAACTGTGCAGGAATTACTCTAGCCTGGTCCACTCCTTGTGGTCAGTTCAGTCTGTAAGCACATCTGCTCCACATCTATTAGAACAGCTTATGAAAAGGAAATCCATTGCCCTGGCGGACCATTCAGTCTTTCCTACAGATATCCATGTCCCCTAATCCATGTCCATCCTTACAATGGTTATCTCTGGAGCAGGTGTCCACAGTCAGGTCAGCTTTGTCACTCCCTGTCAACAAAAAACATTACTTTAGAAGTCATACTCTACAATATAAAATATAAATGTAAGAATCAGTAACATCAGAGACAAAGATTTCTACACAATTCTACAAAAAAAACACAGCAGATGTATCTGATACCATGTCTTAGTTCTTTTTAGCTGAATTGCTGTACGTGAATGAACACTTCTCAATGTTTAATATGTGACAGTATTTAAGACATTCAGGAATTGATGTGAAGAATGTTGACTGTACAAACCTTCTGGGTTGATAAGGGCTCATTGCAGATGGAAGTCCTACTCCAGGTCCTGACTGTCCCAACACTGCATGACACAACAACATAAAAACATTAGCTGGATGCCTGCAATACACATGGTGCTGAAGTAAAAAAATGAGGTATGTGATTTGATACTCTCCGCTCCCTGTAGGGCAGTGGGTTTCTTTATAACAAGTCACTGAAGATGAATATGTTGTAAAAAAAAAATAGATGGAAAGTTTCTGTAAGTGCAAAGTACTTCATCATGACAAATCCACAAATTTCTCACAAGAAATAACATTTGTGTTGTGCCCAGTGGAAGTTGTTGTCTGACAGGGCAGCTGAGACTGGTGGGACATAGAACTTACCCCCGACATTGTATGGATCGTACTGCCCTACTGCAGGAAACCCCACCCCAACGTGTGTGTGGTGGTGGGTGTGCACGTGATGCAGCTGGGCCACCTCCGCACTCGTCTTCTCCGCTGACCCTGCGGCCGGCTTGCCCTGAGCAGACCCCGGTCGGGAGGACGTCGGTGTGGCTGGCTTCCCGCTCTTCCCCGGTGTGTCATGAGCCGGTTTGGCGGGGGGAGGGAAGGGCCCCCCATTATGCTCAGATTTGCCTGTACTCGAAGCTGGTGAAATGGCAGAAGGACGATCGTGTGGACTACTAGACTGACCTTTGTATGACGAGCCGAGGACTTGTTGTGGTGAACCTGCCGGGTCTCCTTGGTACCGGAACTGTGGATGGACATACGGAGCACCTGCATAGCCTATGGGGTACATTCCTCTGTAGGCCGCCGGGTCCAGGTGCATAGCAGCATACGGGTGCATGTAAGGACTGTACTGTTGCATGTACTGATAAGGTACATGTCTGGGAGAGGATCTGTCCATAGGGGAACCTCTGTCCTTGGCTCGTTCTTGACTGGGAGGTCTGCTTCTGTCTTTTGAGTCTGTTGGTTCCCTGGAATGTTCCTTGGAGTCCTTTGAGTTTTCTGCAGAAGACCCAGCCACGGGGCTGTCTCTGCGGGGAGCAGGGCTTTGAGTCCTGCTGTTTGGTTTTGAACTCAAACTTGACCCGGCAGCAGCCTCCTTGTGGTGATGTTTTTCACTGCGATGTTTGTCATCAGAAGGTCTTCTTTCTGTCTCCACATCTTTCTTAGGTCTGTCTCGCTGAAGTTTTGGGTCCCCTTCCCTACTGTCCGGTCTAGGCCTGTCAGTATGATGACCATGAGAGGACTTTTCTGAACTGTGTCCATGCGAGACCTTGTCTGAACTGTGTCCATGCGAGACCTTGTCTGAACTGTGTCCATGCAAGGTCTTTCCTGAACTGTGACTATGAGACGCCTTCTCTGAACTGTGACTATGAGAGGCCTTCTCTGAACTGTGACTATGAGAGGCCTTCTCTGAACTGTGACTATGAGAGGCCTTATCTGAACTGTGACTATGAGAGGCCTTGTCAGACCCTTGGTCATGATGGCCCTTGTCAGAGGTATGCCCATGTGAGCTTTTATCAGACACGTGGGCATGTGGTGCCTTGTCAGCGGCGTGCCCATGCCGGCGGTGTTCCTCCTCCGTCCTTCGCTCCTCCATGAGTTTCTGCTGGATCAGGTAGTACTGCCTCATCTCCTCCTGCTGCTTGTACAACAGTCTGGGGTCAAAGTTATTCCCTGTGCCTGCAGCACCTGCAAAAACAACCGCACATGTCTGTCAGGTTTTCACATTGACTTTTCAAGTGTGACTAAGATCATGATATCATAATTATCACATGCACTGCAGTCACTACATCAACTAAAAAAATCTAGTCAACCTACTAGAGTAGCGCTATAGGAATGAAAAAAAATGGCATTGGTCAATCTATTACAGTAGCTATTTATTTATCTGCATAGTATGTATCTGAAAACAAAACTTCTACAAAGTCAGTTGTTCTAACCTTGTTGTTGTTGGTGCCTCGGAGTTGTCGACTCGAGCTGGGTTTTCAGCTCAATATTTTCCTTCAGGATTTGGTGGTTCTCACTCTGCTTGGCCTTCAGGCTGTCAGCGTCGTCTGCTCTTTTCAGGGGAGGCGGCTGGGAAGGGTACGTCATGGTTTTATGAATCGGCGAGGCCTTCTCACTCCGAGATGCCTCTTCTTTAGTCCTGTCCTTAATGGGCTCCAACTGTGGGGGTTTGGAGTCGGTGTGCTCCTGCTCTTTGCTGTCTCTGTCCTCCTTCTTGCTATGTTCGCCATGGGAGTTTGATTCTCTGGGCTTGTCCCCCTTTTCTGGATCCTTCATTCTTTGCTCCTGCTCAGCTCTTAACCTGGTCTGCTCCTGTATGTAGTACTGTTCGTACTGCTGCCTGTACTGCGGGTCGGCTGCCATTAAGTAGTTGTGATATGCTGGGTCTATCCTGTAGCCGTGGTAGGCGAGGTACTGGTACTGTTGATGCTGATATTGTGCGTAGGCAGCTTGCTGCTGCTGGCTGGTCCTTTGCTGTGAATCCTGCACATGAGGCGACGATTCCTGAGATGGAGTCTGGCTGGTGCGCGGTTTCTTCGCCTGTGGCTCTCCTCTCGAGTCTGTCTCGGGTTTCTCGTCGCTCCCCAGCCTGTCCGTGTCCTCGGGCTCCTGTTTGATCTCCTTCCCCTGAGTCAGTGTGGTGCTGGTGGCAGTGAAGGGAGTCTGTATGGAAGCGTAGTGGGACTGAAAACGAGACCCAGGCTCCTGCTTTCCCAGTGCCTGGCTCCCCAGCGGCGAGGCGGCTGCCGGTGATCCTGCAGGTTCCTGAGACGCTGCAGCCTTCCCTCTGTGCTTGGACTCCACCGTCCTGCCCTCGGCCTGCTCGTTCCCATCGTCAGAGATGTCCGAGTAGGCAGGGCTGCTGGCCGACTGTTTGTCATCTGCTGCTGCAGACTGGATGCCTGAGGTGATGACATGTAGCGGCTTCAAGCCAAGCACGTTCCCAGGTTCAGAATACAAACTGCTGTTTGGGCTATCCAGATCTTTAGCAGTTGCCAGGAGAGAGGAACCTTTCCCTTCAGCACTTTGTAAGTCAATCCCATTAGATATATGATGGCCTGCACCCAGCTGTGTGTCCGTAACATGTTTGCTAGTGTTTCCATCCCCCAGAAGTTTAGCTGCGCCATCTTTAGTGGAACTGGATTCAGACTTTTCCTCTGCTCTTGGTCCCTTTGATTCTTTTTTGCTCTTCTCGTCTTTAGCACCTTTTTCCTTGTCCCCTTCCTTAATCTTCCTCTTCTGTTTATGTTTCTTCTCTTTAAAACTAGGAATGGAGATACTCTGGGGGGTTGGTTCTCCCATGATGGTTGGCTTGGGCTGGATAGGTTTCAAGGCTGAGGTTGTTGGGCTCTTAGGTGTGGTTTGTGCCATAGTGGAAATGGCCTGCATTCCGGGCGGGGCGACAACGCTCGCAGACGAGAACGTGGCAGGAATGGCGATCAGCTGTGGCACCGGCGGAGCGGGCGCTATAGGACGAGCTGTCTTTGACTTGGATGATTTCTCCCCCTTAGCACTGCCGCTGGCATGGCTGGACTTCTTCCCAGTCTCCAAACTCTTGGGTCTGTCAGAGAGCGGCATATTTCTGTCCAGGTGAGAGCCTGTGCTCTGAATAACAGACGTCTGCTGACTGACACCAGCTGGGGACATGTGTAACATGCCAATGGCAGGTGTGGCAAGGGCAGAGTCAGGTGCACCACCTGCCACATCTGCAGGAGCCTCAAGTCCATGAGAGGCCTTGGTTGCAACTCCCGTTGACAGACTTGAAACTGCAGTGTGGGGTGGCATGGACACAGGAGGCTGCCATGTGCCTGCTTGGGTGACCATGACAGGCTCCTTCTTTATTCCAAACACACCATGAGCAGGATTATTCCCACGACCAGGACTTTTGGGTGTTTTCCTTGGTGAAAAGTCATGCTTGCTCTTTGCACACTTGACCTGAATGGCTGGTTTCTGCATGGTCGGGGATGGACATTCCGGGAAGTCGTACTCACTTATTGCCTCTGCTTTGACCTTCTTCAGATCAACATCCTTCTTTTGTAGGCTTTCGTGTTCTCTTCTCTGGAGGGAGTCTAACGCCTCCAGACTGTCTATGGGCTTTTTACTGTTAGTGTCTTGTGAATTGCCAAAGACAGCAAAGTTCTGTATGCCAAGGTCTGATTGAAGTTTTTCTGCACAAGAAGTCAACAGTTTCTCCTCTTTCATGGAGGTGTTGGGAGCAGCACTGCAGTGTTCAACACCGTCCTCCTCCTTTCCTTCCTCTTTTGTTTCCTCGTCCTCCAGATGTGCATGGGCCTGGTGGTACCTCAGTCCATTGATATGTTTGTACTTCTTGTTACAGTTCGCATGCGGACACTCTATCAAGGCTGGCATGGACCCGTCCCCCTGGGGAGTGGTGGGGGTGCCGCGCGAGTTTGTACGTATCCTCTTGCTGGGCTTCACATCTTCCGAACTGGAGTTCAAGTCCAAGTCGGTAGGCGGCTTCCCCTTCCGTTTCCCCCCAGTGCCAGAGTTGAAGTCCTCCCCCCTACCACCACTGGTGGGTGTCCTGCGCCCATGCCCGGCTTTACGGCCAGGTTTCCCGTTGCTGCGCAGCTTTCGTGCATCTGGTGGACCCTGATAGGTTGGGTCGTCCTGGGGAGTGTTTGTTGTTGACCTTGCTCGCTTGCCTCTACCCTTGGGGGTCCTGACTTCTAGGTCGCTGGTAGGGGAGTCACTGAACCTGGGGAAACACATGAGAAAACAACATTTACAACTTGCACATGTCCAAATGTTCACACTCAATTATGATCACCATAAACAACAAGTGGGTAAAAGAATGTAACCGTCCTGTAACTACCAGCCAATCGCTGGACAACTCAACTCAATGTGAAGTTAGGCATTTTCTCAGTAAACCACATGGGCAGTTTGCCACGTACACACAAAAGTTAGGCAATACACACGTATGTACTGTCAGTTCCAGCATTCAATTTCTAATTAATCCTCCGGATGGACTTTTCTGCCCAAATCCTTAAACATAAGGCTGTCAATGACAGGCGGAAGGAACTAGTGTCTTGAAAACAGTCTTAGTTCAGGCCACGACTTGCTTTTTCTGGCTCAAACAGATGTTCCTTAATTGACAGGGCACATAACAGTGTCCTGACCTGAAGAACCTCATGAAAACATCAAAGGAATTCTGCTGTAGGCTACAAGGCAGGAAGGCTGTATGTGCTACTTCTGAGCTCACTTCTGATGTTATTGTTACCACGTTCTACAGCACATGTACAGACTGTACTCTCCCTAGTTTTGAGTTGACAATTTTATCCTCCAGCCACTGACTGAAGCCTGTTTAAGGGTTGGACCATGTACATAAACATGTACACTCCATCTACATTGGTAGAGAGATGAAATGTGTGGCAGTGCCAGACAAATTTTCCTTTGTCACTCTGCATCATTAAAAAAGAGGTTGAAATTTTAATCATCTCTACAATTTAACGGTATACCCCTGTAGTATAAAAGCAGGGAACATAGATTGATGTCCAACAGCCACAATCTTTTGTTCATATTATCTATAATTAACGTGCAGCAGCGTCCCTGGTGCCACCTGGTTCATGAAATTTCATGCATAATTACACGCTGAAGTAATTTGGTTGGAGGGGCCTAAGGCCAACCAACGGTGTCAAAGGTCATCTGTCTCAACAGCGACCTTGTAATCGTGCTTGGTGCAGAGGGCCACTTTGTTTTTGTTTGTTTAATTTCTATCACTACTCTTGTCTTGAGGTCCTAACACTTCTGACAAAAAGCATATGTAACATAACATGTTTAATACTACTATAACTAACTAAACAGGAAAGGTCAGAGATGACAAGATACTTATATTGTTATGACTGCAATTCTGGGATTCATTTTCACACATTTTTTCAGATCTGCATGTTGTACTTATCAAGAAATGGAAGCCGCCAAAACATCTTCAGAACTTTTCATTATATCATAATTTGAATGCTTGAAAAACGTAAATGAATGGCATTCCTGTCCCTCAAACCCAATTTTTGCATACTCCATTTGAAATTAAATGAATACTGGTACATTACAGATATATTTTCTAGTCTTTAGTTTTGTAAATGAATGCATAACCAGTTACTTTTCTTATGTTCACTACATTTGAAAGGTGAAATGTTGTAATGATAATAGCTGGTGGCATGAAAATAAGTACAACGTATGCATGCTTTCCACAAGTATAACAATTACAACCAGTACAAAATACCCTGGCATCTCTGATATGTTTGCAATGCAGCATAGAGTCTTGATGTAAGCTGACTTCACATATCTTACTTTGTACTATGTGCCACAAATCACGTTCTGCCTTGCAAACTAGCATACATGTTTGTGTTGAGGAGGAATGGTGAGGGGGTCATGTGGGTTCCTGGTGTGTGGCATTGCCATTCACTGATGTGAACAATGAGCTATTGAGGGGGAAGTGTATTGATCCAGAGGGCTTATCCATCTCTGAACAACACATCAAACTACAAATGTGACTCTAGCTAGCTTCATTCTACACTGCAGACACAACCGTCTGTGTGTACATACAACCATTAGTGGGAAGGAGCTGTGTAACCTTGCCAAGGACTTACCCCATGAGCATAATGAAATTCTGGTAATTGCCATCATTTTTGTGCACCATTGATGCAATAGCAGGGGCTATGACCCAAAGCAAGAGGGCCAGGTGATGAAATCAATATGGCCTCTTGTATATGTCATCAGCTAAAGGGGCACTCCCCACTCCCCTAACCCATTCTTCTCATGCACTTCATCCCTCCTACTAGTGTGGCCAATCTTGGCAATTCCATATTTGATCATAAGCCAGCAACTGAGTACAAGTCTCCAGGATATCCCAGACAGGGTGACAGGAATGGGAACCACACTGCCCAGTAACAATGCTGCTGTTTTCCGGTTTTAATGTGGTGGTGAAATCTGGCGCCTGCTTCCAACACACAATTATCTGTCATTTTAAAATAACATGTCTCTTCATTTGTATACATGTACATGTATATGTTGATAGACAGTCTTTTGTCAAAGAAATATTTTCAGCACACATTTCCATTGTAATGTTGTATGGAAAGAATATTTCCCAACAACACCACACAGCCTCTGTGTACCCAGTGCCCAATGTTGGTACTGGACATGTACTGTATCAGCTCAGTCTGGAAACAGAATAACAAACAGCGTAATGAGAAATCCTCCTGCCAACCCAAACACATTTGAAGCCCCTTCAAACATTAGCCCTTCCGAGTGAATTGGCAAATGTATCCAAGCTGCCAAACATGCCAGGCAAGGAAGTCATCCTACGTTCCCAGTAGTTCTGTAGTAATGTGTTCTGAAGTGTAGGATATTTAAAGGGTGACATTTAAAGGGTGGTTTTACGTGGTGGAGGGAGGAGAATGTCTCCTAAAGAAAGCTCTTATCTGGTAACCAGAGAACCTGTTGTTACACATCTTGTGACTAATGGGACATGGGCCAAGCTTTGGACCATTTCTGGCCATTTGGAAAATCAATGACTGCAGCTCTGCATTTAGCTTGGGCGCCAACCTGGTTAGTTTTGGTCATTAGCTATAAAGGGGGGGGGGGCATAAACTTGATTGAAAGCAGTGTAGACATCTTTACCCTGTGTGTTTTTCTCCCTTTCTCTTTACACTAAATCTAAACCACAATAAAATGAATGGCCACACTCGACATCTTATTAATTAAGGATGTACTTCAGACTCAAAACATTTTGCTCTAAAAGCTACATGTATGCAGATCCAAAATCAGCATTGATTCAACAAAGAGGACATTTGTCATTCTGGCAGGGGTGTTGGAAACAGTAATGTTTTGAGCAATAACTCCATGTGGATTTGAATATTTTTCTTTTCACTTCAGGGTCTTCCACTAAAAAATATGGACTAAAACATCCCTCTAGCATGCAGTCTTTCCTTTTCCTATCACAATATTTAGTACTGAAACCCATGACATCCTGTTTGTGCTTGGCTGTCAGAGATATTTGAAAACATGCCTGCCTGTCTCTCTTGGTACCACATCAATGCTACAGGAGTAAAGACTAAATCAAGTGGGTCTGGAATAGATCACATTCATGGTGCTGTTATTATACTATAGAGACATTTTTGTACCATAAGCAAGTTTTCAAGTCATTCAGTGTCCAGTAAAGCTGTAGATTATCAAAATTATAACCAATGTATGATATTACTGTATTTATGTTATATCATACAGGGTTCTCCCCAGACGATGGAACAAGGGCGCTGCGCCCTGATACTCCTAGCTCAGCACCCTCATACTCATTTTCAAATCTAGGGTGTTGCATCCCGATTTTTCTACAAAATTTCGCTAAAATTCGACTAAAATTCGATAAAATTTCCTGATTTCGGGGCTTAGTGGCGTCTATTTTCCCGCCGGCATTGTCTCTGAAAACTTGTGAATGGGGCGATAATCGAGTAAACAATGAGTATTTCGCACGACGCTACTGAGAGAATCGCTGTCATTGGTGGAACATCGGGCGCCCCGCTAGCGTTTTGAAGTCGTGTAAAGAAAGCTAATTGTCTGATTTCTTTGTAAACCAAAGCCCTCGACCCTGATAATAAGTTTAAAAATAAAAGCCGATACGTTTACGAACTTATAAACCGTAGAAAATTCCCTACCGTATCGCGACATTATGAAGCATGTGGCGGCCGCGAAATTCGTTGACGCGACAGAAAATGTCCGGGTCGTTAGGGATTGGAACAGTCTACCACAGGCCGTAATTGACTCAGAGTCAGTAAATGAGTTCAAGACGAACCTAGACAAATACTGGGAGAGCATAAAGTATAACACTGAGTGAAGTCGAGATCGGGATCACCACAGGATTACCTCTCATCCCGAAGACGGTATCAAGGTATCAAGGTATCAAGGTAAATGTCTGGTTCATGATAGCGGTATTTCCCATGAAAATAACGTATACGATTTATTTTTCCCCTGCTGTCGGTTTTTATGTCCCGAAACGTTAAAAAAAAGCTGAATTTTGCCCACAAGTCCGGACGGGGGACGGCCTGTACCTATCGGCGTAGCACATGGCGGCCGCACCGCAAGGCTTCTGCCAAAAATCGGCAACGCGACAAAAAAATGCATGGTCCATTTTAGCGATATTTACCATAAAAATAACGTATGTGGTTTATTTCTCCCATGGTATGAGTTTTAAGGTCTCAAAACCTCTAAAAAAGCAGAAATTTGCCGACGAAAACGGACGGGCAAGGCATGGGGAGGGCACTGTTGACGCCTGCATGACCCCCAAAAGGTCGAAGGTCATAGGGCACGTCCATTGCGCAATCACCTTAATTCGCCGATTTAGCTAATTTTAGGGCGTTTGAAAATTGATACAATCACAATATCGACTTGTAGACAAGCAAAGGGATAGAAACCAATAAAATGTTGTGCAGATTAATATTTTTTTTATTCAGTATTTCTTTTTTTTCTTCTTTTTTTTTTTAATTCAAAAGTATTTCTTGAATGTGTAACTTTGTTAGTCCTAAACATGGGACCGTATTATTTAATGTTAGAGAAGTGAAAATTTTGTTTTGATGGCACTCTTGATGGTACTTTGATAATTATAAGGGACTTGTTTACAAGTTGGTGATAACATAAGGATTAGCATTAGGATAAGGTTTTGTCCCAGCTTCTCTACATTTTCCCATAATTGCTTGCCTCAAGTTCCAAGTG